TCATTTTTGCATATGATTTGCTGAAGATGGTTTTCAGATCCTTATTTTTAAAAGATTTTTCAATCTTTAAAATTTTGTACTTTCAACAACTTGAACATTAGCTGCAAAGTATGAATAAATGGGGAAAATGGCAATAAAATATTATTAATGGAATAGTAGGTTACATTACTCAACCACATGAAAGAGTTACCATACATTTGGGAACCTAGGACCACTTGATTTTTATTTTTTAAACATTTATTTGAAGGGAATCTAATTATATTTATATATGGGCAGTTCTGATTTCAGGGTACAATGTACAGACTCACTGAATAGTGAAGTCATCCAAAGAGTAACAGGAGAATCTGTATGATAAATACTGAATACTGATATCATTCACTCCTACATGAAAACTCACTTTTCCATTATATTTTAAAGAAAAGATTACTGTATAGATTTGGGTATGTGTCTTGGGTTAACTTTTTCATGCAATGGGAAAAAATACCTTTTATATCTCTATAAACTTCAATAGACTTTACATAATAAAATGCTTGATCTACACACCATGAGTGTATATACTGTATATAGTATACTCTTAAATATTTGAATCTTTAGCTTCATATGTGTTCTGAAAAGATAACTTTCCTGTACTAATTGAAGTGTTCACACAGTGTTAAAAAAAAAAAGAAAAGGCACTTGCTCAGTCATATTTTGGAGCAGTCTCGAGTCGGTAGTGATTTTTTTGTTGTTGTTGGTTTTTATAGTTTTTTTTTTTTTTTTTGCGGTACGCGGGCCTCTCACCGTTGTGGCTCCTCACGTTGTGGAGCACAGGCTCCGGACGCACAGGCTCAGCAGCCATGGCTCACGGGCCCAGCCGCTCCGCGGCATGTGGGATCTTCCCGGACCGGGGCACGAACCCGTGTCCCCTGCATCGGCAGGCGGACTCCCAACCACTGTGCCACCAGGGAAGCCCAGTAGTGTTTTTTATGTTTGTATAGAGATGCCAATGAGTTTCCGTCTAGAATCCTGGATAAATGTGCTTTTCCACTATAAAATGAGTTCTACATTGTTATACATCTTCCAAGTTTTAGACTGACAATATATTATGTAGTTAAAAAAAAAATTTATGGGCTTCCCTGGTGGTGCAGTGGTTGGGAGTCCGCCTGCTGATGCAGGGGACACGGGTTCACAGTAGACTTGTCTTCTAGCCGGCTCTATATTTAGAACTGATTTAGTAATCACTAGTGCAGTTCTGCAGCCGAGGCGCGGGGTGCAGCTATTGGCTAGTACTGAACAAAGTATCCAGCTCCTCCTGAAGCAAAGGAATCGCCTGTGGACCGCGGAATCGCGCGAACTGTGCACTCTCTGAGGTTTTCTGCGGCAGAAATATCTATCCGAGAATCTGCTTGCCAAGACGTGTCCAAGGAGTAGCTCCTGCTCAGAAATTCTTGGGATCATTTAGCGATCGCAGCTCTTCGGGATCAGAAAGGCAAAGGTGCAGAGAGTGGGATGGGAAACTGCTTGGGGTCGAAGCGCCAGGCTAGGCGGAGGCGAATTTTGTTTCTCTTCCTGCTGTCTTTGTTCCGCCTGGAGCTTTCGGAGCAAGTCCGCTACAGTATTCCAGAGGAGCTGGCCAGGGGCTCGCTGGTGGGGAACCTCGCCAAGGATCTGAGGCTTGGCGTGCGAGATTTGTGAACACGGAACCTGCGGGTTAGTGCAAAGAGGAAATTCTTCACAGTGAACACCGAGAACGTAGACTTACTTGTGAGTGATCGTATAGACCGAGAGCAGATTTGTGGCAGGAAGTCGATGTGTGTTTTGGAATTCGAAATGGTCGCTGAAAAGCCTTTGAACTTTTTTTCATATAACCGTGGAGATTCAAGTCAACGACAACCCACCGACCTTTAGCCGAAATGTCACTGAGCTGGAAATCAGTGAACTGGCCCTAAGTGGAGCCACCTTTGCCCTGGAATCTGCACAAGATTCAGATGTAGGTGTCAATTCCCTGCAGCAATACTACCTCAACCCTGACCCTCATTTCTCTTTGATCCGGAAGGAGAACCCAGATGGCAGTAGGTACCCAGAACTGGTAGTGCAGGCTCCCCTGGACAGAGAAGAGCAGTCCTGCCACCACCTGGTCCTCACGGCTGTGGATGGGGGTGAGCCAGCCAGAAGCTGCACTACGCAGATCAGGGTAGTTGTGGCAGATGCAAATGATAAGCCCCCAGTGTTCACCCAGGACATGTACAAGGTCAGTGTTCAAGAGAACCTACCCCTGGGTTCCTCTGTGCTAAGAGTGATGGCCACTGACTTGGATGAGGGCATCAATGCTGAGATCACCTACGCTTTTATCAGTATTGGTAAGGCAGTGAGACAACTGTTCAAGCTTGACAGTGAAACAGGGGAACTCACCACTGGTGGAGGACTGGACTTTGAAGAGAGAGGGAGCTACACAATTGGGGTGGAAGCAAAGGATGGTGGATGTCACACTGTGCATTGCAAACTACAAATAGATATTTTGGATGAAAATGACAATGCTCCCGAGATAACCCTGGATTCTGAATCTAAATATATACAAGAAGATGCTGAGCTGGGGGCTGTGGTTGCCTTGATCAAAACACATGATCTAGGTTCTGGATTTAATGGGGAAATCTTATGCCAACTAAAAGGAAATTTCCCATTTAAAATAGTTCAAGATACAAAAAACACATACAAGCTGGTGACAGATAGAGCCTTAGATTGAGAGAAGACTCTGGAATACAATGTCACTATCACACCTACTGACAAGGGCAAGCCGCCCCTCTCCTCTAAAAGAAGTGTCACCTTGAAAGTCGCTGATGTCAACTACAACCTCCGGTTTTCCACCAGGCCTCCTACGTGGTCCACGTGGCAGAAAACAATACGCCTGGAGCCTCCATCGCCCAAGTTAGCGCTTCAGATCCAGACTTGGGGCCCAACGGCCACGTCTCCTACTCCATCGTGGCCAGCGACCTGGAGCCGCGCGCGCTGTCCTACGTGTCCGTGAGCGCGCAGAGCGGCGTGGTGTTCGCGCAGCGCGCCTTCGACCACGAGCAGCTGCGCGCCTTCGAGCTGACGCTGCAGGCCCGCGACCACGGCTCGCCCGCGCTCAGCGCCAACGTGAGCCTGCGCGTGCTGGTGGGCGACCGCAACGACAACGCGCCCAGGGTGCTGTACCCGGCGCTGGGGCCCGACGGCTCGGCGCTCTTCGACACGGTGCCGCGCGCCGCGCAGCCCGGCTACCTGGTCACCAAGGTGGTGGCGGTGGACGCCGACTCTGGACACAACGCCTGGCTGTCCTACCACGTGCTGCAGGCCAGCGAGCCCGGACTCTTCAGCGTGGGGCTGCGCACGGGCGAGGTGCGCACGGCGCGGGCCCTGGGCGACAGGGACGCGGCCCGCCAGCGCCTGCTGGTTGCTGTGCGCGATGGGGGACAGCCGCCCCTCTTGGCCACCGCCACGCTGCTCCTGGTTTTCGCGGACAGTCTGCAGGAGGCGCTGCCGGACCTCAGTGACCACTCTGAGCCCTCTGACCCCCAAGCTGAGCTGCAGTTTTACCTGGTGGTGGCCTTGGCCTTGATCTCGGTGCTCTTCCTCCTGGCAGTGATTCTGGCGGTTGCCCCGAGTTTGCGACGCTCCTTCAGCCCTGCCACCTGGAGTTGCTTTCAGACTAGTTTTTGCTCCAAAACTGGACCCAGAGTTCTCCCCAACTATGGGGAAGGGACTTTACCATATCCCTACAATCTGTGTGCTGCCACACATTCCTCAAAGACTGAGTTTAAATTTCTCAATATAAAGCCTGAAAATGCTCTACCACGAGATCTTCTGTATAATGAAGCCTCTTGGCTTGAAAGTACCAGTAATGACAATCCCCAAATTGCTTTTAATTCAGTCAATTTGCAACAGGTGAGTTACTTCAAAACCTTTTCCTCCCATAAGTATAATTAGGTTTCGATTCACTATTTTAGAGGCCAAAAAGTATACAGGCTAAGTATGCCCTGTTTTTTGTGGGGCTTTTTTTTTTTTTTTGGTGTTTTATTGGTTTTTCTGGACATAGAATGGGGATGGGGAGGCTGTTAGAAATTCTTTGTTCACTAATCTGTGTTACAGTTATTCTTTCATGGAATGTCGCTTAGTGATCTTGAAATTTCTGTTAATTCTAAAACAATATGTCCTGAAACATTTTTAATATGCTAGTATCTCACATTCTCATTGTAGGACATATTATTTATATACAATGTAGACAATTAAGTGGTTTACATGGTTTCAGTGTAGTCAATCCTAAACTATGTTTTATATATAATATAAATATAAGAATACTTTTTCACTGTAGCCTATATATTTTCACTTCCTTTGCATGTTCTTGAGGGTATAAACAAATATTGGCTAAATTAGGGCAGTTCTTAATCTATATGTTGATAAAAATAGGTAATGACATCTAAAAATGGCAACTCTTGTGACCTAGTGGTGGATTGGTCCCAAACATGTTTGTGGTTGTTGGTACCCTTATTGAAAATGAGACAAATATAAATGATGGTGGAGTGTGGATTTCAAGATTTATAGAAAAGTGTAAACGTATTTGTGTTCTCCAATGCCATAAGAAATGTCACAGAAATAAGTGTCATTCCAGGGAACATATAAAAATTTCAAAATACGCTATTTTATTCTTCCAAATGCTTTTCATTCTTGGGGAGAGAAATATTGAGTGTCATCTATGCAGATTTAGCAGAAATAAGATCCTGTGTATAATGGTTTCCACGGAACCGTGCAGTATTAAGTTAGGACTCTAGGCGTCGCTGTTCACCAACCGGGTAAGGAAAGCATTGAGAACTCGAGTTATATCCTCAAAGCACAAAGCACAAATTACACCAAAGCTTTGCAGCTGCGCAGACATTCTGTCCTAAAACGCTTCGCATCTGATCGCGGCTTGTTTATGGACCTTGACCTCCAATTCTGAGAAGCCCCAAAATTGATGCGAACCTGTTCACCCTACTCGTAATCCCAGGGAAGTTCAGAACGAGCCAGTAATGGCGGCTCTGCAAAGGCGGCGGCACTACAGCGTGTTGGTCCTGCTCTTCATGCTCCTGGGGATGCTGTGGGAGGCCGGGGACGGGCAGATCCATTACTCCATTCCTGAGGAGCTGGACAAAGTCTCTTTCGTGGGCAACATTGCTAAGGATCTCGGGCTGGAGCCCCGGGAGCTGGCGGAGCGCGGAGTCCGCATCGTCCCCAGAGGTAGGACGCAGCTTTTCGCTCTGAACCCGCGAAGCGGCAGTTTGGTCACCGCGGGCAGGATAGACCGGGAGGAGCTCTGCGCTCAGAGCGAACCGTGTTTGGTGAGTTTTAACATCCTTGTTGAGGATAAATTGAATCTTTATCCCGTGGAAGTGGAAATAGTGGACATTAACGACAATGCACCCCGATTCTTAAGGGAACAATTGGAAGTGAAAATTATCGAAAACGCAGCCTTATCCTCTCGGTTTCCGCTAATGGAGGTCTATGACCCGGATGTGGGATTGAACTCTCTCCAGGGCTTCAAGCTCAGCGGGAATAGTCACTTCTCAGTGGACGTGCCAAGCGAAGCCAATGGGCCCAAATACCCGGAGCTTGTGCTGGAGCGCGCCCTGGACCGGGAGAGAGAGGCCATTCACCGCCTGGTCCTTACTGCCATGGATGGCGGTGACCCTGTCCGCTCAGGTGTGGCTCGAATTCTGGTTACTGTCCTAGATGCAAATGACAACGCTCCAGTGTTTACTCAGTCTGTGTACCGTGTGAGTGTTCCTGAAAATCTTCCAGTAGGTACGCCAGTGTTGTCGGTAAATGCCAGGGACCAGGATGAAGGAGCCCACGCGGAAGTAACATATTCTTTCGTGAGGATAACAGAAAAGATCTCAAAGACTTTCTGCTTGAATGTTTTGACTGGAGAAATATCAACTTCTGCAAATCTAGACTATGAAGACGCCAGCTTTTATGAGCTGGATGTTGAAGCCCGGGATCAGCCAGGTCTACAAGACAGAGCCAAAGTCTTAATATCTATCTTGGATGTGAATGACAATGTACCAGAAGTGGTAGTTACATCTGGAAGCAGGTCAGTTGCTGAAAGTACACTGCCAGGCACAGTGATTGTTCTTTTTCAAGTATATGATCGAGACTCTGGACGGAATGGCCTGGTAATATGTTCTATCTCAAGAAGTCTGCCGTTTGAACTGGAAAAATCAGTAGACAATTATTATCGATTAGTGACCAATACAGTTCTAGATCGAGAACAGGTGTCTTTGTACAACATCACTGTGACAGCCACAGACAAAGGAATGCCATCTCTGTCTACAGAAATGCTCATCTCCCTAAATGTGGCAGACATCAATGACAACCCTCCTGCCTTTCCCCACACCTCCTACTCCGTCTACATTCCTGAGAACAACCCCAGAGGTGCCTCCATCTTCTCAGTGACTGCACACGACCCTGACAGCCATGAGAATGCCCAGGTCACCTACTCCCTAGCTGAAGACACCATCCAGGGGGGACCTCTATCCTCCTATATCTCCATCAACTCTGACACTGGCGTACTATATGCATTGCACTCTTTCGACTGTGAACAGTTCCGTGACCTGCAACTGAGAGTGATTGCAAGTGACAGTGGGGACCCACCGCTCAGCAGCAACGTGTCTCTGACCATATTCGTGCTGGACCAGAATGACAACACACCTGAGATTCTGTACCCTGCCTTCCCCACTGACGGTTCTACTGGTGTGGAGCTGGCACCCCGCTCCGCAGAGCCTGGATACCTGGTGACCAAGGTGGTGGCTGTGGACAGAGACTCAGGCCAGAACGCCTGGCTGTCCTACCGCCTGCTCAAGGCCAGCGAGCCAGGGCTCTTCGCGGTGGGGCTGCACACGGGGGAGGTGCGCACAGCGCGGGCCCTGCTGGACAGAGACGCGCTCAAGCAGACCCTGGTGGTGGCGGTCCAGGACCATGGCCAGCCCCCTCTCTCCGCCACAGTCACTCTCACAGTGGCTGTGGCTGACAACCTCCCAGACGTGCTGGCCGACTTGGGCAGCCTGGAGGTCCCACACGACTCTGACGCTTCAGGCCTGACATTGTACCTGGTGGTGGCGGTGGCTGCGGTCTCCTGCGTCTTTCTTGCCTTTGTCATTGTGCTGCTGGCGCTCAGACTGAGGCGCTGGCAGAGATCGCACGTGCTGCAAACTTCGGGAGGTGTACCAGCTGGCTTACCCGCCTCTCACTCTGTGGGCGTGGACGGAGTGCGGGCTTTCCTGCAGACCTATTCCCACGAGGTCTCGCTCACCGCGGACTCGCGGAGTCACGCGATCTTTCCGCAGCCCAACTACGCGGACACGCTCATCAGCCAGGAGAGCTGTGAAAAAAGCGAGCCTCTTTTGATTCAGGAAGATTTTTATAAAGAGCAAGACTCCCTTGTTCGGGTGAGGTTATTACTTTTATTGTACTTATTCGAACAGGAAAAATTAAAATTCTCTTTGATCAGTGCTTAGTTTTCTTAGTCTTTTGCAGTGAATCATATAGTTTTGAGAAGGTTTTTCTTTTATATCAGTAGAGGTCTATTAAATCTTACTTTTCTCGAATTTCACCAAAATAAATCGTAATAATGTATGCCCTGAATTTCCTTTACTCCTCTCCTCTTGGCAAGCTCTTTGTGCCTTGGGTTGCTTACATCTCACTTCTTAGTTGTTTTCTTTTCTTTCTTTTTTTCTATTATGTGGCATATCTGAGATTCTTTATTTTTATACTGTGGAAAAAACTGAATCACAGCCTCTATTTTAAAAGATCAAGATCTGGGCTTCTCTGGTGGTGCAGTGGTTGAGAGTCCGCCTGCCGATGCAGGGGACACGGGTTCGTGCCCCGGTCCAGGAAGATCCCACATGCCGCGGAGCGGCTGGGCCCGTGAGCCATGGCCGCTGAGCCTGCGCTTCAGGAGCCCGTGCTCCGCAACGGGAGAGGTCACAACAGAGAGAGGCCCGCGTACCGCAAAAAAAGGAAAAAAAAAATTCTTATAAGTGAGTTTAAATGTGGCAATTAGTGTCCACTTACAAGATATAGCTCTAAAAATAGTGGACTGGTGAATGGGAGAATGAAGGATTAATAGTATTCAAATAAGAATTTAAATGATTTAGCATATTTAACCCAGATAAAACTAAGCTTTTGTTATGTAGGAACCCTATTCAAATATTTAAGGAGTCTTTTTTTTTTTTTTTTTTTTTTGG